GAAGAGGAAAGAAAGAAGGAGAAGGGAAGAGGAGAAAAGAGAAAGAGGAAGGAAAGATGAAGAGAAGAGGAAGAGGGAGAGGAGGGGAAGAGAAGAGACGAGAACAAGGAAGGGGGAGAAGAGGAAGGGGAAGGAAAGAGGAAAAGGGAGGGAAGAGGGAGAAAAGAGAAGGAGGAAGGGAAGAGAAGAAAAGAGAAAGAAGGAGGAAAAGGAGGGAGGACCAACAGAGGAAAAGGCTCTAAACCACTCATCCCCAGCCATCCCCTTCTCCCTGAGCCCTCTCCATGACCAGCCCAACCGACCAGCCTCATCTGCTCTGCTATTACATTTGTCTTCAAGAAAATCCCACTCATCGGCCTGGTTCAGTCCAACAAACATGTTCCATCTACCTGCCACGTGTGAAGCACTCTGCTGGGCCAAAAGGGAGCCACAGTGAGCAGCACCAGTCACCGTCCCCAAGGAGTTCGCAGTCCAGTGGAGAGACAGGCGTGGAGACAGGCGATTACTTATCAGACCCCCAGTGCCAGCCTCACACTGAGGCAACGCAGAGAACCAGGGGCATCTGCTCCCCTAAGTGTCTCCTTACTGCCCCCCACTGCCCTCCAGCATCTCTTGAGCAGGCAGCTTGTCCCGTTTCTTCCACTTCCATTGCCAAGCTTCAGCACTCATACTCCAGACCAGAAAAGGCTGGGGTGAGGTGGTGGGTTTGACGTCAGATAGCTGGGCTCAAATCCCAGCTCTGCCACTGAACAGCTCTATGACCTTGGGCAAGTTCTTGACCTACCTGTGCTCCAGTTGTCACACCTGTAAAACAGAAAAGACCTACCCAGTAGTGTCCTTGTGAGCACTAACAGAGCTTAGCTCTGTAAGTAAGTGTTCAACACGGGGCTGGTACATATCACCAGCTAGGTAAGTGCTGGTGGTGATCATTATAATGACACATGCTATATTCCAAACAGTCCTTTGTGTTTCCAGCCCTACATTTCCTCTTTTTTCTTTTTCCTCTTCCTTTTTATGTCTTCTTCCTCTTCCTCTTTTTGGCCTGCAACAGAAATGGGCAACACAGGAGGAGAAGCTGCTTTTGAGGGAAGGTGGTGAATCGTAGTTTTGATTTATGGCCTGGTAGGCAGCCAAGGGACGGATGCAACAGGCACTTAATTCAGGATGCCGAGAGGTCTGGCTGCAGACAGATTTATGAGTTGTGAGTGCAAATGAGTAATCATAGCCATCAGATTGGATGAAACTCACAAGAAGGTAAAACTGCAGACAGAGCCAGGCTCGGTGGCTCAGCCTGTAATCTCGCGCCTTGGGAGGCTGAGGTAAGTGGATTGCCTGAGCCCACAGGTTCGAGACCCACCTGGGCAAC